ATCTCAGGGTGCAGGCTTTCGAAAGAACTTGCTTTCGGCTGCATGCAAGATCTATACTCTGCAAAAAATGACTACTTATGTAGCATGCAATTTTCTCATTGATTTTCGATGCCCTTGAAAATCAAATTAGATTTCACGGAGAACATGCATAAAAATATTCATTCTTTTACTTATTCGGTAGAAAACCACGTCTTCTTCCAATTTCATACTCAAAAGAAGAGTATAATTCGGTTTTAAAAAAGTTTCTAATTGTGAGATTTTTTAATACCGTTAAATGGCCGTTTATGAAACGTCGTGTATCTGCATTTACGAGTGTGGATTGTAAAGTTAACAATATTGCTCGAATCCACTGCTTAATTTTATGAACCTCATATGTTCTCCACTTAATACCGTAGAGAAATGCATGGTTTTCCGTACAGGGAAAGTATACAGCTTGTAGTTTTGAAACCCTGATTGCAAGTGTAACATCGGGTCGGGTTCAAATTATTCGGGAATTAGAAAAGTTTTTAAAAACCAAATTATACTCTTCTTTTGAGTATGAAATTGGAATAAGGCGTGATTTTCCACCGAATAAGTAAAAAAATGAATATTCTTGTGCATGTCTTCCATGAAATCGAATTGAATTTTTAAGGGCATCGAAAATCTATGAGAAAATTGCATACTACATAAGTAGTCATTTTTTGCAGAGTATAGATCTTGCATGCAGCCGAAAATAAGTTCTTTCGAAATCTGACACCCTGAGGTAAGTGGATCATTACAGACTTATGCTGCATCATGATTACTGTTACAGCACTACAATAAGTAGGGTTGTAAAACTAGTCAGCCTGCAACATAATTCTATAATATTTCAGTTAACTCAGGATGCAGGCTTTCAAAGAAATCTCTTTTCTGTTGCATGCAGTAACTACGCTCTGCAAAAAGTGACTACTTATTTGGCATGCACTTTTCTGCTCGATTTTCGATGCCCTTAAAAAGTCAATTATATTTCGTGGAAACCATGCATAAAAATATTCATTATTTTTCTCATTCGGTAGAAAATTGCGTCTTTTTTAAATTTTATACTCGAAGAAAGAGTTTAAGAAACTTTTCCAGTTCCCGAATAATTTTTAACTCGACCCGCCGTTGCAGTTGCATTAAGGGTTTCTAACCTACAAGCCGTATATTTTCCGTGTACGAGAAACCGTTAATTTCTCTACTGTATTCATAGGAGACCATATGGGGTTCGTAAAATTTAGCAGTTGATTTGAGCCATATTGTTAACTTTGCAAGCAACAGTAGTAAATGCAGAGACATGGCGTTTTATGAACGGCCATTTCACGGTATTAGAAAATCTCACAATTAGAAACTTTTTAAAACCAAATTATACCCTTCCTTCGAGTATAAAATTGAAAGATGACGTAATTTTCTATCGAATGATAAAGAGAAGGAATATTTTTATGTAAGGTTTCCAAGAAATATAATAGACTTTTTAAGGGCATTGAAAAGCAAGGGGAAAAACGCATGCCACTTAAGTAGTCATTTTTACAGAGTGTAACTGAAAAGAAGCTCGTTCGAAAGTCGGCATCCTGAGGTAGCTGAATTGTGATAGAATTACGCTGCACGATGATTGGTTTCACAACCGTACTTAATTAATCTTTTCGAAACGAAAAGGCATTTCGGAATTTCGATTGACATTTCATAAGTTAGCCCACCTACTTTAATCGAGCGCAGGTGGCTGGCACGGCCGGACCCGTACCGAGGCGTACCACCACAGCCCCTGGTCCACAAAAAAAACACTTGACCAGGATTTTGACCACCAACAGCACCACAACGGATTAGGAGGGCAAGAATGACTGAGCAGCCATACTCACGACCTGTTCAGCCAACAGAAGCTCAGGCCATCAGCCGGTAGAGGACCAGGTGCCCGAGAACATCCAGCGCAAACCAGGCTGCAAGGGCCATGCTTTGCCAACGCGCGGCATAGCGCATGCTTATGTACCTTGAAGCATCAAACCTACGCAATCAGTGTAGGTCGCTGTGGAACAGTGGAGAGCGAAAGACAACCAATCCATGGTATGGGAGAGAGGACTGAGGGGTGTTTGGGCATGTCAAGCAAAAGAAAGAATAGTGAATTAGTTCGGAGTTTCGGGGGCAGGGCAAGGATGCCAGGGGGATCGTGCGTTTGTTTTTCACCTTAGTCTGCTGACTTTGAGGTACTTGCGGTTAGTAGCCAATTTCAGGAAATGTCTGTGTTATGAAGTGCGTTTTCGATTAGGAAGGATGAATTAAGTGAGGTTTAAATACTGATTACCTTTCAGCGTAATCCCAACATACTTCAGTTACAACAGGATGTCGGCTTTTAAATGCACTTCATTTTGGCCACCTGCAAAATATCACTGGATTTATAAGGACATCGAAAAGAGACATCGGTAAGAAACGCCTAGGGTCGTTTATCGGATCTGGTGCAGTTACGGACGAAGCAACTACGTCGGAGAAACCGGAAGACAGCTCTGAAAACGAATGGCCGAACGCGCTGCAGCAGTTCGGAGAAATGACGCCAGCTCTCAAGTTGCGGCTCATTCGGCAAAATCCAGCCACACTAAAATTCGACGCGGCCGAAATCCTCGCTATAGGCGACAACCGAGTGAGCCGCGAGATGCTTGAGTTAAGGTTCACAGGTCCCCAGTCTGTTAACAGGTGCAACGACCTTCCCCTTCCATACTCGGTGCTGAGACGTCGTTTTGACGAAGTAGTTTTCCATGCGGGGAGCGCACAGGTGAACACTGTTCCCAATGGTGGAGGGGCGCTCACTGATCGTTTCCAGGGAACGCACTCGTCCCATTGTGTTTACGGGTTCTCTCTCTCAAGCCCAACCAGCAGCCGCACAGCAGCACATGATATAGGCAGACTTCTAACTAACAAGTTGCGGAATCGAGCCCCAGGTTTTCCACACATCGGGCTTGGGTATGACTGGCTGACGACGGCTAATAAGCCAGAAACGGCCTAACGTGGGCTGGCCGAACGAACATCGCAGGTTACATGGACGACGGTCGCTATTACCCAACCTTCCCCATCGTTACACACATACACCTGACTATACGGCATACATTCGCATTATGACAGTTTATTACAAAACAAAATCACTTTTAAAAAAAGTTCTTTGTTGGTGATACTGTTTTCAACGCCAGGGTCGGTGGGTCAGATGATCAAGCCATCATCACACCAACTTCCAACGCACGTTGTTAAATTGCAGCAATTAACGGCGCGAATTTCGATCATCAAGCAGTCATCACGTCAAGTGCAACGGTCTCTGAGGGGGGAGAGCCGTGAATATTCATGGGCATGCGGTAGCGTGGTGACTGCATCCTATAAATATCGCACCCCCTTGTGCATGGACCACCCGTATCTGCCATTGTCTCTGATGATGGGTTCGAGCAGGAATCCGAAACGTCAGGCGAATAAAGCTCTTGTCCCGGCGATTTTGTCTCCACGAATGCTTGTTCTGTCGTCCATTGTTAATATTACCACACACAAAAATCTAGCAAGTCAAATGGCTTGCTGGGTAGTTGGCCTTGGGCTGACCGATTTTCCTCCACTTCTGCTGCCCGGATTGCTGGCGGATGTTGGACAGATTCAAAAGGACTTTCGGCGACTGGCCCTCGCCGGAAATCGCCTTCATAGCGTACTCAAACCTAACTAGGGACTGTTCCACTTAACGGCAAGTCCCCTCCTCCGTCTAGTGAGCTTGTTGCGTGTCTCCGATCGACCCCACTAAATCAACGGCGACCATCCCATCCACATTTGTATAGAACGGCGACGGACCAAGTGCGACGTAAGATCACGACGTCAGCTGATTTGACCGGGATCTGAAAACACATGGCACACGTCCTGCGACTAGGAAATGCGCCGGCGCGTTGGTTGGTCTGGCACTTGTCTCCATCTCCCTCGTGTTGGTAGCCAAAACTACAGGAGCCGGATTCCACTCGCTCGGATATTACACCGGCGACAAAGGTCATAAAACGACACCAAGGAGTCACTGCAACCCTGCTTTTAGCCCCGAATTTACAAACTTCCTGGTCACTCAGCAGTCAGTGTGCGAGCCATTATGATCGACTACTGTCAGGCCGTCTTTTGCGTCAAGTTACTAACAACTCGTTTTCGGATCAGACGGAAGTAGAGGGTGGGAGAGAAAGTGTGACAAGACGCTCTCGGATGCGACGCTTAAACGAAAGGCTTCCGAGTCAGGTACAGACCGCGGGGGGGGGGCTCTCACTTCACTAAGTTCATCGAATGTGCCGATAGCAGCGAAAGCATACATCCAACCGTCCGCCCCCTCCTTCCCCACTGCCCACGTCGGAGTTATCATACAAACAATCAGCCCTGACGAGTTCTAAGCGTAAAGTCCGGGCATCAACGCAGTGGGTGAGAATACTGTGATTTGATGAATGCGATTAAAATCCACGTCTAACGCAGTTGGCGATATGATGACTGGCTGTTGGTGTGTGTGTGTGTGTGTGTACACGCGCGCATTGCCCGAAAACACTTCGTATGCACACACGTACGCAGAGGGTGAGGTCTGGTCCGAATGTGGTGGCGAAATCGTGGCAGCAGCGCAGTTCGGTGGGACTCCCGTCTCCGATGCCAACAAAACGGACGTAAACACGGAGACAAAGTCGACCGCCCAAGCAGTGGAAATATAGACGCCAGAGAAAGAGGAAAAACACTAGTGTTGTACACCAAAAGGACTGCGGCTGGGAATGATTTGCACACACGAAGAGACGCGGAGGGGGGCGGGACGAGGAGGCCAAAAACAAGAGAAATCTGAGGGACGGATGCAACGGGAAGGGGTGGTAGTAGAGAAAAATGCTAGACCGGAAGTCGTCGTCTGAGCAGCAGCCCAGTTAGGTACAGTCCCGCATGTGCATGTAGGATCTGGTTGGTGCATATGTACACAGACCGGGAAGGAGGCGGGTGATGATGAAAGTACAAACACATGCGTAGGCAGGCGGAGACCCACAATGTCAGTGACTCTCGTTCCTAGCTTGAACTCGCAGGGAGACACCACTCTCTGCAGACCTCTGGGAGGCCAACTTCGCAGGGGGTGGGCCGTTTCGGGAGATGGGAGCTGTACCGTTACTACTGCTGCTGCTGCTGCTGCTACGGCTGTTATTGTCATTGCTGATCAGACGATCAGTCGCATCAGTCACTCGGCTGGCTGGTGCCATTGGCAGTGGCTGAGAGGAAACAGAGTCGTTTGAGGCGTCACTGTGGTCGGGAAAACTGCTCAGCGAACTGACGGTACTGGCATGATCCGCAACGGAGTCCGAGGATGAGAGAGTGCTGGGCTGAAGACCACCGGCCGCCTCAAAAGCTCGAGCATTCGCGGAGTTGGCGTACTTTTTAGTCCATTGTTTGGCAGTCCGGTCGTGCTCAGAGCGGTTGTGAATGTACTGGTTAGCTATCGAGCCAACCAACGGGTCCGCTGGATTACAGTCCGTCAGTAGGGAACAAATTGACAGGAGGACCTTGCTAATTGTGAGCGCAGGAGACCAGTTGTTCTAGAGGGGTGAAAGGAGGGACTTACATTACCTCCAAGAATATAATATGATACAGGGAAGGCATGATTTTCAGATTATGGTAACAATCGGGAGATGACACCCAAAAAAATCCGTTACCTAGAAATAATACCTTTAACAGTGGACTGAAACGCCTTCGGGCTATATCGGCGGTTGCAGGCCTACTTTCACGCACTACTTGGACTTTCCGCGACGGCCTAACATGGGCTGGCCGAACGAACATCGCAGGAGGTTACATGGACGATGGTCGCTATTACCCAACCTTCCCCATCGTTACACATACACCGGAATATACGGCATACATTCGCATTATGACAGTTTATTACAAAACAAAATCACTTTTAAATAGGATAAGTCTGCACAACATGGGACAGGAACAGTTCCCAGGCATCTTTCAAAGACATGGCATTGAGGTCAAACCAAAGACGATACTCTACTTCGTCTCTGTGGGCCCACACAGCTCGACCACATACTGGGACTCCCTTGTGGAGTTTCCTCTTCAGTCTACTCCAGTATGCCTCAGTGGCATTGGTGTGCCGTCTGGTGGTAGGGTTCTTGAAGTTCTTTGCGTGGTTAACATAGAAATGTAGATAACCTTCTGAGGGAAGACGATTATACGCCTTCCACTCGTCCGTTAGCACTATATGGCCTTTGGCGACCCATTTTCTAATAACGGAAAGGAGAGCGGGCCAAATTCGTTCATTTACCTGTTCAAATAAGGCTTTCCGTCGGGCAGTATCGTACATCCCTATAAGGCACCACCCATAAAACCCCTATTACCACCTGCCCCGTAAGACAGGCTGCTTTGGTTAGGCGGATTTTCTTGGGTGCCATCTCCCGATTGTTACCCAGATTGTGACAGACACGAAACGACTTAAAAGGCGACAACCGGGAGCTGCTGGAGTCAGTAGTTTCCGGTTTTTAAACGAGTAATTGGCGTGATGAACCCCTCCAAGTTTACTAACATTTAGAACAAGATTCGAGGCTGTCTTCCCAGGAAGTTTCAAAAACAACACTTCTGACAATGAACTGACTGGCTTAGGAGCTGCCTCACTCAATAAAATCACGGGATTCACATCAACCGGACATCCCCTACTAAAGGACCTAGACAACACCTTGCAGGCGAAAAGGGCACGCTGTGCGGCGACAGTGGGGAACGAGCTTTCATTGGAAAACAAGCATGTGTCCTTCTGAAAGCTGGATGAACTGAATGAATTGACCTGGCCCTGACGTAGGAGGGATGCGCTTGCCACAAGGTCAGTTGAAGACTAACAAGATAGCGATGGGGCTGGAAGGTGACTGATACCAGGTAAAACTAAAATATGAACAGCCAATGAGGTTATAAACTGAAAACTCGGTACGAGAGAGGGCAGTTCCGAGGCGGCTGTTCAAATGAACCGCTTTTTCACCTCAGACAAGCAATTGTTGTTTACCCTGCTCGTAAGTAGTCTGACAGGTTGTTCGCCCGCTCGATCCCCTCTTTATCCCACGTCTTAGTTTGCCACCTTATGTTATGCAAACGTCAGCAGTGATGCCCGACATTGAGCTGACAGCTACGACCACGAATGTCATGAAGACTACTCAATCCCGTACATGGCAGACGGCAAGGTCAACATTTACACACCTCGATATTGATGGCTTATCAAAGTAAATTACTGAACCGATGGATCAGCACCGAGAAGAAAACCAACAAGGAATGGGCCGCAATCGGCTAAATTTCCCTAGTAGTTTAGGATAAACAGCCTGGAGGTAATGAATTGCCCTCCGAAACTCCGACTACTTCTATCGGGAAATTGGTAAGGACGCGGTATGCGACCACACTAAGGGAAAAAGTTGCATCCTAGGGCTCAGTTCATTTACAGATATTTGCAAAAGAGCCCACATACCAGGAACCTGATCCCCGAGGAATGATGAAGGTTCATATTGAGCCAACTGTGAAAAACTGGGCGCCTCGGTGGGATTCGAACCCACGCAGTACGGGGAAGGCTTTAGTACAGCCAACGTTCTAACCACTTGAGCTACGGGGCCCCGCCGGACGACGCGAGTTTAATCCCATTCGGGTCAAGTTACCCGCCCAACCTACTGCAGCGTCTGGAATCCACCAAATCTGATACAGTAAGTTGGCTGCAAAAGCAGGATTCACCTAGAATCCACCAGATGACTACCAGGCACACGTAATTCACAGATGTTTTGGGTTCGAATCCCACCGAGGCGCCGAGTTTTTCACAGTTGAGTCAACATGAATTATTCAAAATCTGCCAAAACATCTATGAATGATGAAGTTATCAAAACATCTGACAGCGCGAGCAAAAGTTGAGCATTTGTCGCAGTTTTCCCGGTTTGTTTTTACAAGAGAAGCAGATTATATTCCAGCTAGTTATGACAGCGTGGAGGCGTCAATTATAAAAGGCGAGGACGCAATATGCTATGATGACCTGGTTTTTGTTTCCTGAGTGGAGTCGCATACTGCGTCCTTGCAGGGAAATTTGCCTCCAAAAAAGCTAGCCTCGGCCAAGAAACAACAGAGGAGTTTGCGGCCGTCAACGTCCAGTGGCGATGGTCATCTTTTTTTTTATCCGCAACTAGTTTGACCAAATAAGATCCTTTTCGGATCGAAAGTCACAAATCTTACCTGATAAGAAAATCACTGTGACTAACTTAACACGAAATTGTCTCAAATACAAAACCTGGGTTCCCATCAAAGCATCCCCGATAAGGCGGGTTTGCGACCAGGCTCACGTGTACCCGACACATATTCGCCACTTCTACTCGATAAACAGTGCAGAAGACAATTACGTGTGATACCGTGAACCCGCGACATGGGGCTGACTAAATCAGTAGTAACATTGTCGCAAGTAGCTGCAAGTAAACCACTGCACTTGGACGTTCGGGGACAAAATGGGTTCACAAAAAACAGTACCCCTAGAGAGAGGAGTGGAGGGGAAGAGAGGAGAGGAGAGAGTGAGAGAGAGAGAGGCGGTAAAGGCTACCATCTGGGCCTTCTCAAAACAAGATATCCTTATAAAGTACAGTGGGAAAAAAGTGGACGTACTTTCAAAATGTCCAGGCATATCACGCCATGACTGTTGATATTGCAATGATAAATTCGAGTCTTGAAGGTGACCTTCGGTGGTTTAAATGGGTAATCCAAAGGGAAGTGGATATCAAGTAGGAAGATGCCACTCTCGTAGACAGAGCCGGGGGGACCCAAAATCGTGGAAACCCACTCGTAGAGGTTCTCGCCGCGAGGAAATGCACTGAAAAGTGAGGAACGGGTCAGGCTAATTCACTTACCTGCAGTTTGGTGGGGGATCTGCAGTAATGTCGGCAAGCTCCTTCTGAATCCTTAAAAAGAAGATGGTTAGAAGTAAAGGGCACAAAGATGCCAAAAATTGTGTGTATAAGAAATGGAAAGAGCCCTCAGGACTCGTTATTTATAATGAAAATGCTTATCCCTGCGAGATAATCTAGGACCGAAATGCGCCCAACCATGACAATGATCGGCATGTGGGAAGACGTCATGGCATGAAACCTAATGGTGGCTTCTGGGTTTTGTGTAGAACAGTAGGTCAGCTGCGGGTGCCTAACACCGGGTCTCAGCAACTGCCTAATGACATGGGGACCGTCGTCTGAAGCTGAGATGCGCTTCTCGAATAATGTAGACCACCACGAGGAGTTACGACAAAAAACGAGCATGGCTCAAATGTACCACTCGTGGAGATTCAAAGCAACCTGCCTTAGAAGGCAATATCATGTGTAAAACCAAAAAAGCCCCACAAAATTCACTGCAGTCCCTCACCAAGACGTGAGGGACCCACTATTCCGCTAAAAAATCACGGCGCTTAGTTGCCCTCCGCTGATGAGTGGAGGGAAGGTTAACGACGGAGAAAATGCCCGGCTGTTCACCATGGTCACGGCTGATTATTGTAGCCAAACGACTCGAATAGCAGGCGCAATGCATTGAGCACGAATCTCCAAAGGCTCCAGGGTACTTTTCTGTCAGTGACTAGTAATGACTGATCTCAGAGTTAGTGCGATGGCAAAATAAGGTCTGATCTCCTTCTTTCACATGTACTCAGGGAGAATTCAGAGGTTGGCCTAATAGAGACAGGCGTATAAATTACTTCTCCAGGGGAAGCTTGGGAGGCAGCCTTAGAGGGCCGCCAAACTCGCGTTCCCTGGTACTTATCAGCGACACTTCTACTGCAGCTGGTCTTACATAATTACCCCACACATCCTTTAACTGTGTCTTCATCCACTTTCTAAACTCTGGAAATCATCTACCTACCTTGCGCTAAACAAGGATAGGGGCAAAGACACACAGTCTGCGGGGACTGACAAGAGCAGCCTAGACGTAATTCGTGATTATTTACAATGTCGCCATCACGGGAGTACCATTAAGCAATATCGCCGAGATCTTTCAACTGCTCTAATTGACTGTTTACACACTTCCCAAGGTAGACGAAAGGAGGCGACACAACTATATTGTTAACGTGATTAGGCATGAAGCAATCGGAAAATCACCCAGTAACTGGTCGTGGAAGGCGCGTTTTGTTTCCGGCAAGGGATATCTACTTTTATTTCGTTGGAACATATGGACCCATTGACCGAAATAACGTCCAAGAAACAACCCGAGTAAATAGTATAATTTGACGCTCCCAGAAGTTAAAAATTCGTACTATATGGCGGAAAAAAGCATATGACGAAGGCCGTAAGAATTTTGCCACAACCGCTGAGCGCTTTTTCTCCGCGGAGCCTCTTGACTAGCTGAGACGATACGTTAGCCATAATTCTCCATGATTGAGAATTCCAAGGCGCGGGAGTGGCAAAAATTACGGCTGGTTGCACAGCAAAAAAAAACATCGCCTCAGATTTAGCGTCGCTTTTTGCTGACATCACGTGGAGGCCACCGACATGTCAGTCGAACCCTATCTGCAGGGAACCTACCGCTGTAGTGGCGGTGGCTGTGGCGGCGTCGTCTCGCCGGCCGAAATAACAATACTGGTAGTGGTAGCAGCAGCTGCAGTGTTATTAACAGTAGTGAAAGACAGGTACTTGTCCGAGAACGAAATAGTCACTGGGTAGCGGTTGTGGGGGGACTTGACATTTAACTACAGCGCGTGGGCAGGACTGATTAACGATTCCACACATGCTGAAGCAGGCCAAACGGTTTCCATGATATGCTGTAGATGCACAAGGCCGGGGCGTCTGCTTCCACTTGCCACACTCAAGTTACATTTTAGCCACATTCTGTTCAGATTGGCAAAGTTGAGAGATCCGGGTTGATTATTTGAAGAAGGTGGGCTCACCGGAACAGGTTTATTAGGATGCTGACGTTTCGAAGAGCTTGGTCGGCTCTCCATTGCCAAAGCGTAAAATGCACTCAATCCACCAGAGATCCCAAGTGGCGTGTCACGTTGGACGGCCTCATGCTAGTCGATTTTTTCCTTTTTTTTTCTCTCTCCTCTCGCTGCCGCGGCCTATCAGGGGATGGTTGACTGGTGTTTTGTCTGCGTGCATTGTGAGTCACCACTCCGCCGGAGGGGAGGTGACTGAACCAGTGTCGGGTGGTCGGTCTGGCGGTGCTTCTTCTTCTTCACCGAGTAAACTCGCCGTCGGGCTGTCTCCGTATGGCCTCCTTAAGCCCGGTGTGGTCGTTTGGTCCTGAGCTCTACGATTGTGATGACGTAGGACTTTGTAGGCTGTAGGAAGGTCCAGATGCCTGTTGATAGAGTGGGCATCGGAGAACCACGCCTCGAGAGTTAGCCGTTCGGCTTTTGTGTTGCCCCGGCCTAAGATGGTAGCTCGCTGGAGATCGAAAGTATGCCCAGTTTCTCCAACGTGTGTTGCTAATTGAGAGTTCGGGTCTAACCTCCGTGTAGTCGATTTGTGCTCTTGTAGGCGAGTCTGCAATTTCCGCCCAGTTTCTGCCACATAGTTGCTGTCGCCCTCATTGCCATTTGTTTTGTAGATGACTGCTGAAGTTTCAGCGGGTGGCAATGGGTCCTTAGGTTGCATCAGGCGGCGTCGAATTGTTGCCTGGGGTCGATAGGCTATGCCTACTCTGGTGGGTTGTAACAATCACGAGACCGCTTCAGAGACCCCTTTAACGTAGGGAATGGCCCTCCATACTTCAGGTTGCTGCTCATTTGGCCGTCGTCTGTGCGTCCGACGTCTGCTTCTCTCGATAAAATGTCTGGGGTATCCATTGGCTGCAAAAAGGTTCTGAAGATACATTCGTTCGCCTCTTTTATCTTCTGGCGTGCTGCAATGTGTTTCGACTCTTTGGAATAGAGTGCGGACACAGCTACGTTTGTGAGACAGAGGATGGTTGCTGTTGAAGTGTTGGATCTGCTCGTGTCGGTGGATTTCCGGAATACTGCGGTTTGAAGTTGTCCAGTTGTACACCGACGCACAAGCACGTCAAGGAATGGCAGTTAGTTGTTCGTTTCTGCTTCAATCGTAAATTGGATATCCGGGTCGACCGAGTTTAGTAGTTCCTTTAGATGCTCAATGTCAGTTGTTTTGACAACGACGAAGGTATCATCGACATAGCGAGCCCAGAACTTTGGTTGATACTTGGTCACATTCTGTTTATCCGGATTCCTATGGACAGCAGAACGCGAGGGTTTGGACCTTCCTCGGGCGTGGTGATGAAATGGTCTGGTCCGTGATTGACAAAGCCTAGGAACTAGTCAGTCGACTGTTCGTATGACTGCCCCTGAGACACACAGCGATGAATTTTGCATTTGTTAAGAGTATGACGCCGGTGTATTCAGGAATTTAGATGGCATTAGGTGGTTAACGTAGTTTCTTCGCTACTCTAAGACCCTCGTATGACAGAGCTACTGAGCATGTTGGGGACGAAAGAAACAACTGTCCAGAAGCTGGTGACGAAATGGCTCTTTTGAAGCATTAGACATATGGCCCAAAATCGTGCCCCAAAGGCAGCGATTAAAAACACTTCTGTTCGACGATTCGTCGAATACTTGAAATGGCCTAGACTGTCCAATCGGTATAAGCAACTTCACTACAGGACCACATTACTGGCTGTATGAACTCCCAAATTCCGTATTTCGATAGATAGACTTAATCAGTACGCCTCCATACACATAAAGATTTTAAAAGATAAGCCGAAAGAATCAAGGAAAGAACGGCGAGACCAACAAAATCTAACGGATCTTGTTTATGTATGTGCATTTACTTTTAATGTGTTAGTAAAAAAGTACTGCATTCAGGTCAGAAGGGAGCCTACGTCACTTATGTTGCCGACCAGCATGAATGCAGGTCAGGTCGAGCAAATGTATGCGTCAACTGGCGGAGAACGAACGGATTTCGGCTAATTTAACGAACCAAAAGTTGCGGAGTTAGAAACACGTGAGGCATATGACTACAAAGGAAATTCAGCTTGTGCGTCAAGAGACATTGTCAGGGGTTTTTTCTAAGCCAGCCATTTTGAAGTCGGAAACATAACCAACGCCGAAGTGGGAACGAGAAACGAACCTTTGCAAGGTGTCAATTTCCCACGGATTGTAAGTAAAAAAGTGGATACAGTAAGATAAACAGGCTAACACAACGTATGCTACTGCCTAACCCACTAGCTTGGCGCAACACGACCGGTCAGATCTAGCTAGGCAAGAAATCAGGTGATGGCCTGCCGTTCCTTTTACATCGCATTACAGCAATGATCACATTTCACCACATTCCGTAAACTATGCGATTAACATTTGGCGTGCAGTCGAACCACAAGCGAGAATTGTGATGAAGAAGCTTCACGACAAAAACCGCGAAACCCATTTGGGCTGCCGACAAAGCGCGCTTAGCAGTAGCGTGCCGTGACGTCAGACAATCCCACAGTTAGTTTGTCGGATTAACGCGCGGCAGTAAAGGAAAAACTTCGAGCAGTAGCGTGGCTGAGCTTAAAAACAGAACGGGTGGAGGGTCCAAGAGACGGGGTGTAAGGCGAAGTAAACATCTGCGCGTCGTTTAGTTACATAGCGAACGGTAAACTCAAAAGGAAATAAACTTTCAACTAGACGAATTTTCTACTTCTTAGCATTATGAGCTACCTACAGCTACTTTCGAGGGCTCAAATGCTGATGTCCTTGATGACAGCCAATATAGAAGTTTGACAATGTAACCCCGTCATCATGGTCATCCCCAGCCATTACCCGGGATACCATCATCATAAGCCACACGCCGTCACAAGAGCGTTGGTTCCGCGTTCCCTGTGTAAATCCTTGGTCAAAGTACGTTGTGGACCGAGGGTGTGGTGGTACGCTCAGGTGCGGGTTTTCGCCGTGCCAGCCACCTGCGCCCTATCCCAGCTCCGGCACTTGGACATGGCGACTGCGAACCGCCATAAGATAAGTCTGCTTGCCACTGGTGCATTCTGTTTAGGGTTCTTGAGCCAAAAAGCAGGAGAAGACAACCTCTAACAGACAATTTCAACGGCTTTTGGGGACTCGTCTGTATTCAAACTCGCCAAGAAACCTCATGAAATGTGCGACTGCAACATTACGATCCACGCTACGACATTCGCGGGAACCCATGTGCTCCGCAACCCTGCCCGGCGACGCGGGTTAATAGTATGTGAGCTAAACTACTCAAATGGGAACAAACTCTCGGTACCGGATTCTGGGATGTGCGAACGTTTCAGCACCACGGTACACAAAATCTGACGGTGCGTGGTCCTTACCAGTACAACGTGGATGTCTGCTGCCTGTCTGGAGTCTGAATCTCTGACCCAGACGCTGGGGAAACAAAGGTCACGGGAATCAAGAACCATGGCGGACCACGCGACTCTTCTGGTAGACACAGTGGCTATCGTCCTCTCAGAACAATCAAACCGTGCACTGCTTTTGCGGAAACCAATGCCCGGATCGCCTACGTGCGACTGAAGGGTCACTTAACGAATGTCTGTCTTCTCCGTGTACGCGTCAACATCAGCTGTCAAATAGTGCGATAAAGATATCTTCTACTCACATCGGCAGGAGTTACTTGAAAGACTCCTTCGCCCTGATTTGCTGATTGCTACCAGGGACTGGAATTGCCAGACTGGATCCAGCGACTTCTCAAACAGTCACCTTACCGGCCGCTTAGAGTTTGGCCCTCAATGAGACAATGGAGAGAATGCTGAATTGTTTATCAGAACCGACTGTTTGTCACCAACATGCGCTACCAGCATCGACACAAACATCTGCTGAACTGGTATTCCAACGACTTTCATACGGCCAGTCAGACCAACCGCATTATACCTAGCTCAAGGTTCCGCAAGTGGGTCGAAGATAGCGGATCGATACTTGGCGCTGATACTGGTAGCGTCCATGGATTTAACCATGTTCTCGTTCGCATACCCCCGAAAGTTCGCCTCTCACTTACATCCAAAATGCCACGTGCGAGACGCCTTAGTTTCACAAAATTTCGAAAACCGCCACAACCAAGGCCCTGAGCACGGAAATCCGGTCCCGTTTTACGACCCGAGCAGACGGAGAAGGCAGTGGCCAATTATCATCACTAAAGTTGAGTTTGTGGGACAGCTGAGGAAATTTTTGGACTGACCCAGCGGCGCCGCAGTAACTGGATCAGCGGAAGAACCCTATAACTGTTAGCCTAGACAGCTCGAGCTAGGTCCTGCTACGATGCTTCCTTCCGCCAACTCCGGAAAATGATGCCAAAGTCAGTTAGGGATGACCTGTAGGAATATTGGGCTGAGACAGCCACCTCAATGGAGCGGGTCTCAGAAGTTGCTGGCATTCGAAAACTCTGCCAAAGTATCCGCAAAGTTAGTGATAAACCCTAAACATCTAGTGACTGTTCATGATGTGAATGGCAGCCTTATTGCTAACAACTCGGCCAGGGTCGATCGGTAGCGTAAGCACTTTGAGCAATTTGGATAAGCAACCCACAACATCCTCGTTCTCGTCTGCAGCGGAGTTTTATCCCTCTCCAGCCTATGCAGTGTTGTGCGAACCCACTTCTAAGGGAAAGTTGTCGATGGAATAGTCTGCACAGCAATAAAGCGTCCAAAGAGGACGGCGTTATTGCTGAAATCTACAAGTCTTGTGTCAACACTGACGCCCTGGCTCCATAAGATGATTGAGTAAGCGTGAAGAGATGAGGTAGTTCCTAGTGACTGGAAGTCAGGCATCCTTGTGCACTTCTTCAAGCTACATCGGCGTTGCTCATCTCAGACGATTCCAGTCTGTGTGTGACTCCAGGACAAGGCCCAACCAAGGCGAATCCCGAGTTGGGCGTGGATGCGTGGGTCATACACCGGCACTGAGGCGCATTCTAGAATTCTGCTACGGCTACCGGCAACCGACGGCCGTCTGCTTTGTCGAATTCGTCGTTATATCTGATTTCGTTCGTCGCGAGTCCCGGTGGCGAATAGTGGGACTAGATAGTGTGCCGGCCAATTCATCGCCACAGCCAAGGCCCACTATCTCTCCACCGCTGCGCGAGCACTCTTCCATAACAACCTCTCCCAACCATTTCACATTCGGCCTGTCGTCCGATAAGGTTGTATCTTGGCGCCCATTCTGTCCAACCACGCCATTGACTGGGTTCTCAGAAGATCCCTATGTGGTTTTGACGATGTGAAGTTTGCACCCCGACACTGGTTGACTAGTCTAGACTACAGTCTGTGGTGCCACGGGTGAATGAAGTTGCAAAATCAGTCGGTTTATCCCTAAACGCTGGAAAGACCAAACTATTTTCAAGTTGTATCCCTGACTAAGCGAAGGCACCTCTCGAGAGTAATAGGTGTCAAGTGGATGATGTTGTCAGTTTCAAATAGTTCTGGGTGAGACCGCTGCCTCAATGTAGCATTCGAGTCCGTCCGTCATGGACCCTGGTGAAGAAATGGAGCTCGACATGCTGGCGACAATTACAGCTGTAAGCAGAGCCTACTACCGCCCTACAGCCGCCGTTTTTGCCGTTCGATACCTGGCCAGGCGTTCAGTTGCAAGATGTGCCGTCACTCATTCCATGTAAGTACGACCTCAATTGGATTTTGAAAAATGCACACGATTTTAATAATGCCACAGGTGTACTTGGAGGCTACCTGACTAGGCCCGATAATGTTAGCGATATCGCCCCCCTCGACCAGTCTTGACAACACAAAATATGGGTCCGGGTCACTCGTGACCACGGACTGCCAAATTTAAGTGACTAATTTCAAATGCCCAAGACCGGAGTCCATGCCCAGTAAACAGAGCAAGCACAGGAACAATAATTAAATAAATGCAGCTCACGAGAATGCATACATTTCGAGGCGACAATAACGTACTCAGATTTAAATTGTCACTAAATACTTAATGTACTAGACATTCGTTCAGTCAGACCATATATAGGTTTGCGAATCAGCCGTTGCGAGCGGAAGACGACCAAAGTTGGAATAATTTAGATGCGGTTCGGGCATTCGCGAAAAGTACACCGAAGAATCCTCGAATGCAACAGTCGACACCCATTGCGACATTGCAGGGATACCTCAGACTACCCACAACATAAAGTCTGATAAAGCCTTCTCTCGTCTCCCTTGGCTAATGCCTCAACCGGATGCGGCAACGGAGTCAGCACAAAATCCGGTTTAAACCGGTCCGTCCAAATATGAGCGCGATCATTAGTCAGCCCGCTTCACTGGAATAGAATGTAATCCGAGTTCACCAGAGTCGATTCCGCAGGTTGTCGTGCTTAGATGGGCACTATGTGAAGGTATCAGTAAGCGCGACCAGAAACGGCCAGAAGACAGCCGCGTTGTGAACCCTTTTGGTTTTGCTATATGTACATACAAGGTGCTGAGAAAGTGTGCCTTAAACTGCCTATTTCCAGATATTATGTAAAATAAGAACTACGTTGACTGTTGAAACAATAGAGACGATATCGTCTCCATATGACTCAGGCATTGAAAAGCAACCGGAACCATACTGCACAAGCAATCAAACATTTAACATGATAAAAGCATCATAAAAAGTGTTACATACTAACCTTTTAAGGCTCGTGTTCATGGACTTTGATTTCATAGCTACGGCGGGTGAAGCTTTTGGAGGCGTATCGACACCTGAACTATTTGGTGAACCACTAGGTCCTCCATTAGAAGCCTGGGAGTAAGACCGCTTGAGAATCGTCCTGCCGTGCGTTGATTTTGACATCTCCAGTGGCCCCAGGCCCCTAACCAGCACGAAAGAGGATAAAGCGATTCTAGTGGGACAGTTAACCAGTGAGGCCTATAGAGATGATTCATTCAAACACTACATTGGTTCGATAAATGTTTACTTAATTCTATGAGACAAAAGACTACTCCATTTCCTAAATAATCAGGAGTAATATTTCACGGGCTGCGTGTACGTATAGCATGTAGAAGCATCGTCTTACTGGCCACAGTCTCCATTGACCTGTAGCCGCCCGTCCTCACGGTCGTCGACGCAGCCATTTGCCCGTGCTGCCTACGGTCCGCCTACGCGCGTAACTCCATCTGTGACTTGAGACCCTGTGGCACTTGGCAATACTCTCCTCTCCGCTTATTGACCACAGCCGAACGCGGTTCGGATGCATCCACTTGCCTGGTTAGAACGCTGGTTACGCCTGAGTAAACTTTATCCATTTGACTGTCTTCCTTGCATTCTGGTTTTGGGGCCTCCAAGCTGTTGACAGTCACATTTTGAAAAGCTGTAAAACCAGACTTTTTTCCATCCTAATCTGCTCAAAAGCAACCGATCCTTTATCTTCGTGATTCTGGTACGCATGGCAACCCCCGAACGGTTTGTGATGCCCACGCCTAAATCTGTCGCAATGCGTTCAGTGGACTCGGACACATTCTTTATATACGGTAGTGAGTGGTAGATCATTGGTGTCCCTCTTCCTTTGTCCGTCGCGAGGTCGTACGAATGAAGCGACCGATGAAATTCTTTGGATAGCTATTCTTTGCAAAATGGTCCCTGAGCTGCTGCTGCGCTTGAACACTTCATTGCGGTTGCTACGGTGAAATTTTACTCGATCAAATAGCGCCCAAACGTAGATCCCTTCGTGCACCACCGGGTGGTTGTTATGATAGCAGAAGATCTGGGTTGTGTTAGCCGCCTTCCTATACATTGTATTGTTGAGCTTACCACGAAGTCTACACTTGAAGAGCACGCCAACGAAGGAAACTTTCACAGACTCCCCTTACTCTCTTGTAAAGTGAGTGTCAAGGAAGGAACTGTTGAGCAGCTCTTAAAAACCCGGCAATCTGACCTTCTGAATAATGAAAAGTATCTTCCATGTGTCGGCGTCAAAACGCAGGTTTGAGGGTAAGGCGTTCCGTGTGTCATTTGACATCCCAGCCAACCATGAGATCGTCAGTGTAGCCGTACAAAGAGGATGGACCACGTAAAACATGGTCGACGGACCTTTGGAACCGTTGGGCGACATCGAGATAAACGAATGTCATGTAGATTAATTGGCAGGTGCCAGAGGCAGGACTGATGGTTGTTTTAGGGATAACTTCTGGTGCGACAGGCATCTTGGTGGAGAGTGTGTACGAGGTCGATCTTCAAGAAAACCGCTTTGCCAGAAAAGTCTCCGGCAAAATCTTAACGACGAGACACTGCGTAATGGTCGGGAAGGGTTGGATTGCTGAGGGCATGGTAGTTGCCACAGGGTTACCAGTCGCCTGATTTCACCTTGGCCACCATGGGCAGAGGGGGTGCCCATGGGTGTTCGGACAGTCGGATGATGCCCAGTTCCCAAATGTGTTCAAAGTCCGCCTTCGCAGCCAGCAGGCAGGCCGGCGTCAGTCGCATAGGCTGAGCAAACGCATTACGACCCGGAGTGTGGACCTGCCCCACAGCATCGCGTTGGACGTTGACACTGCAAAACTAATAGTTGGTAATGTTGTGATGTCGGAGGAGGGAATATTGCTAGGGGTGAGCAGTATCTAGATACAGAAAAGACAAGTCGCAGTAGGTTGTGAAAGGAGTCAAGCCGCGAAAAAATGCCAGTTTTCCGGTCGAGTACTTAGGCACACCAGCAATCCACTAGATCAAACTCGGTTAGAAAGTCCGAACTAATGATTGCATAGGGGTCATTGGCAGCCACAAATATTCAGGAGAATAAACGATGAAGGCCGATGTTCAGGTTGAGAAACAGGTTGTTGGACGTGGGAATGGGGAAAGAGGTGGCAGTCCGGAGATGAAGGACAGATTTGCGGAATCGGTGGTTGGCTGGATTGTAAGGGACAAAACCGATCTATCCTTCTGCGTCCCTGGGGAAAAGTCTGAGAGTCAGACTGTCGCAGACGTAGAAGGCGCGACAAGAGTCGAACTGAGTGGTTGCACTGGCCTTCAAGCTGACCAGTTTCGACCGTTGATCCTGCTTCGGATTGAAGGAGCTGAGAGAATTGCAGTGTCTACCTTTGTCACCAAGTGTGGTATGATAGCAGCAAGTGGTCATTGTGGCGGACAGACATGAAGTATGTTAGGGGATAAATGAACCCCATGCGCTCTGAGTTTAAAGGGAGGCTGTCTGTTGCCGAGGAGAGGGTAAAGCAAACTCCAGATTCGCCAATTTCGGCCTCAGGTTCGAGAAAGGGGATGCAAGAGATGTTGAGGGAGTTAAAAATGCAAAAGGAAGGGGAATGCATCCCCACTGACCAGTTGGCCATCAGAGAGAAATGGGTGGTTGAAAGAAAGTCAGAAGCGGGTATCAAAATATGTTACACATTTGGTGGATATTTGCAAATGTTAAACACCTGCTTTTTGAGCAGATTAGGATGGAAAAAGTCTGGTTTTACAGCTTGTCAAAATGTGACTGTCAACAGCTTGGAGGCCCCAAAACCAGAATGCAAGGAAGACAGTCAAATGGATAAAGTTTACTCAGGCGTAACCAGCGTTCTAACCAGGCAAGTGGATGCATCCGAACCGCGTTCGGCTGTGGTCAAT